GGTGTGCAGCTTTAAAGGTGTGTCTTGAACTATTTCAAGAATTTTTTCTGTTCCTGTTCAAATATGTCTTTATTTGTACTTTTTTTTTTTTTTTTGCATGTATGGTGTGTTTTGAAGCCAAAGGTGTGAATAGGCTTGTGAAAGTGCTCGTGTGTGTGTGTCCTCGCATTGTCATGTTCTCCTTTGTGTGGGGATTTCTCTGCATGACTGCCAGGTGCGATGTCTCCATTCATCGGTGCTACTCTGATCCTTCGGATAATATAACAAGCATGAGCCCCCGCCGCACCCCCCTCCTCCAGTGACCATCCTACCCCTACAATTAACCTAACAATGTTTTTGCTGCTTGAAACCGGGTGCTTTTGGAAAGCTATGGAGTTAATAATCTTTGCCTTGGTATAGCAGTATTTTAAGCACTTCCTGCAAGCCTTTCCTTTGTTTTGACATGAAGTACAAAGCAGTTGCACAACAGAGGAGCAGGGTAATCCACTATTGCAATAGCAACCTGTGACACGGTAAGCAATATGTCACTGTCACTGCACAACAGCCAATTGTGCTTGGAGCGCGCAGTTGGTCGAGTGAGTTTAGACAACGTATGAATATTTGGAAACAAATAGATCTTTTCTCCAGCACTTCTTCTCTTTTTAGTGAGTTTTCTTATTTCAGCACATTTGAGCACATTAGGGCAGGTTTGGCTTGTGGACTTATTGTGAATACCTCAATTTACCTTAAGTCTTTCTGTAGCTGCATCCGGCTCTTGTGTATGTCCAATTAGCGGATAGCAGGTGTCTCTGGCGTAAACAGAGAAGGTAGAGAGGAGAGGGGCAACAGGTGGAGGGGGTAGAGAAGGAGGAGGAAGGGGTAAGTGGGATGGGTGGAGTAAGGGATGTATTTAAGACGGTGTAGTCCTCATCCTCCTTAACAGTTGCTTTTACCTCCTCTCTTTGCACCTGAACAGCAGGCCAGCACTAATCTTCCACTCAGGTAAGAAACAGAGGGACAGATTTCAACTGTCTCCACATTTCTCTGTTGTCTTTTTTTCTAATTATGATTGCATACTGGTGCTGATGCTGCTAGTGCATGTCTGTTGGTTCATCACTTGTCGAGTACCTTCGTGTAGAGCAATAAGGACAGGGAGAACTTTCAGTTGATTCACTGATAAGTTATAAAAAACAATTTCACTGGTTAACTAGACATCGGAAAGACATAGCGTGCCAAAAATGCATTTCTAGTCATTTTTACATCCTGCTGATTTGTTTTGGGAAATAAAATCTACGTGAAAACTGCTATAAGCTGTGATTGACAATTAGGAAAAGTCTTCACAGTTCACAGGTGATACAGGTTCAAGAAAGGTAAGGACCTACACCTGTTTGTGGTGTTTTTTTTTGCTATCTGGTAAAGCTAAAGTAAAAGCCAGATCAGGTTGCCACTGTGTGTCCCCGTTACATCTTCTCCAGTGGATGGGCTTTTTAACCAGCTTAGAGTTTCACTCTTATCAGCTGGCTCACATGTCCGGTTGCTGCTGACTATGTCCGGACTCCCGGACCTTGGCAGAGCAGGATCCTTTTATCTGTGGCAAAATCTTATCAGAGCCAGGGGCAGGACACGATGAAGAAACTGTTAAGCTAGATAAGGTTTCTGTCCAAATTCTGTGTGCAAATCTCATCTTACTTGAATGCATATTTGCAAACACATTTAAGTGCAAAACAGAACGACAGACAGGCTTTTCTCACCTGATTTTTTTCTGCATTAGACTTCCATACTTCCCCCAATGCTTGACAGAGCACATGTACTGACATGAACTGTTCTTACTGTATCTTCAACCCACCCTTCTGTTCCTCTACAGAATGTCTTTGCCTAACTCCGAGAATGCTACCACCCTGGAGAATGCCATGCAGCTCATGATCCAGACCTTCCACAAGTACTCTGGAAATGAGGGGGACAAATATACACTGAGCAAGGTTGAGCTCAAAGAAATGCTTACCAAAGAGCTTGGCAGCTATCTGGGGGTAAGAAAGCACATGTTCATACTTAGGAAGAGAAGATGCAAATGTAGATTATGTGTACAGAAAAGACATTGCTTTTTTTTTGTATCTTGATACGTGCAGAATGCCCAGGATAAGGAAGCTGTGGAGAAGATTATGGGAGACCTGGATTCCAACAATGATGGAGAGGTAGATTTTACAGAGTTCATCATTTTGGTTGGAGCTCTCACTGTGGCCTGTAACGACTTCTTCCTGGAGTACAATGACAAGCAAGAGAAGAAGAAGTGAACACACCCTTCGCCCAGAGTCTCCACTTAAAAATCCCACATGTTCCAGGGAGGAAGCACTTAAGGAGAGAGAGAAGGCCCGTTTGGGACATCCTGTCATGGACCTCAAGTTCACAAACACACAGACACACACACACAAACAAACCTCTAATAGAGAAATAAATGTTGTGTTTTGTCTTCAATGTCTCTTGAATTCATTCAAACTGTAATATTACTGCAAAGTGAACATCTTTAGTGTTTCAAGAGCTGTCATTCTTGTATATGTCTCTTTCTGCTCTTTTTGTGCATCTTGTCACATGTTTAACTAAGGGATGCCCCCCTTCCCGGAAAAAAATAAATGTGACCTTTACTCAAACAAGTTGGCTATGCATTATTACAGAAGAGAACGAGAATGAACAAACAACGAGCACCAGGTGGCAGCAAGTGGTCCTCTGAATCCAGCGGTTTTGGTGCATTACTTCTAATTTGCATTGGCACATGGGTACAGCAGTTTGTGCCAGAGGTGGATGGATGCAGACCGGAGATACTATGTGGTATTTACGAAATACACATTCTAAGATGCTGTCTTTAAGTCTTGCTAAGCGTAAGATATGAGAGACAGTTATTCCTGCTGTGGTGTGAATTATTCAAACTGGTTCTCTGCACTAAAAATGTCAGGTTTATATGTGTAGATAAGAACTACCTACAGTCCTGTTTTCACAGTAGAATAATCAGAACCCAGAGTGACCTTGACAGGGCTTTAAACACATTATTGTTTAAAAGCCCTGCTTCCTAAGAGAAAAAAAGTACTGTGTGACTGAGTGTGTGTGCATTTTTGTTCATATAAAAAAGGAAGTTGCCAGCATCAGTGTTAGAAAGCCAGGAAATGTTTCCTCCTTTCATGTGAAAACATGTCACGCAGACATACTTTGATTAATCTGAACCTACAACCTTTATTGGACTGGTTAAGGTGTGCACAGGAGCAGATTTTAGAGTCAGGAAGGGGAAGGTGAAAGATGGGAGAGCATAATGAGAGAGGAAGTGAGAGAGAAAGGAAGGAGAGTGGAAAGGTCAAAAAGAGAAAGAGAAGAGAGTGGACAGCAGCACTTTCTCCGTGTGGAGACATGCAGCCTACAGTTTTCACAGGTCTCTGATAGGCTTTTCACACTTGTTCGGGATCTGCCCAGGAACCCCCGCGGGTAATCCCATCCGCCCTAGACACAGCAAGAGACGCCTTCCAGTCCAAAACTGAGTTGAGCTGCAGAGCTGGTCACACGACTGCATAAAGCCAGGAAACCTGTAGCAAATGACAGTGACTGGGGAGATGGCCTTTTTCCAGAGGTTTATCGTACCTTTCCATTGCACTAATAACAAGAGTCTTTTGTCTCTGCCTATCCTGCTTTTTTTTCCTCCTCGGCATTCATCCTTTCTGCTTGTGATGCTGCTTCATTGTTGCTCCTGTTGGCATTTCGCTCTTGTTTACTAAAAATTTAATTCCCCCCACCCCCACCCAACTGCATGTGTGCCTGAAAAGACCTTTTGCATCTTCTTTGTTGTCAGGGATCCTGTGAAGATTGTGGAAATCTGCCACAAAAAGAATACGGCACTAATGACTGGAAGTTAGCTGTTGTTCTAAGTGGACTAAATGTCAGAAGTGAGCACCCGTGGAAGACCAGATAAACAGAGCGGGACTGGAGAGAGGACAGCAGAGATTAATTGAAAGGGTGGAAGGGTGGGAGGGATACATACATGTGTTATGCTCCTCTGAACACTGCATCTCACAGATGTACATGTGTACATATGTTCTGGACATTACATACATGAACAAAATCCACTGTAGAATTATATATTCAGGAGAGGAGAGGAGAGGAGAGGAGAGGAGAGGAGAGGAGAGGAGAGGAGAGGAGAGGAGCGGAGAGGAGAGGAGAGGAGAGGAGAGGAGAGGAGAGGAGAAAATGACAAGCGAATGAGGCTTTGTCCTGCTCTGATAACAGAAAATGAACAGTTGTGACATGACTTAATATCCATGATACACCTCCCATCAATCCACCATGTTCCACCACCCATCATATAGGAGCCCATATCCACACTCTTGGCTCAGCTTCCTCAATTTCTCAGGAGCTAGATTCGTCTCAGTGCAGCTGTGCACTCTGGCACAGCAGGCTGCGGCTGTTCTCTACTTACTGTGCACAACAGTCTGAGCAGAAAACTGTCCATGCATAATCTATTACTTCATCCCTTTGACTTTTATGTAATAATGCAACCTGGCTCTTTTCGAAGTACAACTGCCTTCTATATATTTTTCCTTCACAATCTGTTGCTTTTACACATATTGTGTTAGTGTGCGCATCACAGGCTGTGTATTACAGTTTATATCACATTCTGGTTATATCTATACAATCATACAACACACCATAGTCTCTCTATTAGCGTCATATCCTTGCATGATCTAATAAACATAGAGAAATCTTAATAATATATACTCAATGCTATACTGTGGTAAGCAGCTATGCTATGATAAAATATACTGAATCAGTTTACTGACAGAGTGGATTTGTTAGTTGTTTTTTTTTCGGGGGGTGGGTGGGTAAGAACGTTGATATAAACTTCCCTTTCCTCTCTGATACTGACATCAATCAACATAGTGAATATGTAATGTCTGTCGTAGCTGAAGGCAGGTATGTCACGTGTCAGTTAAGCAGTCAGTGTAATGCGGAAAGTGTTAACTAGCTGGCGTAAGGTTCAACAAGGAATAACTCGGAGAATCCTCACTCCCTGGCTGGCTGAAGAGGGAAGCAGGGAGAGACCTTTCCACCAGAAAGAGGTCACACCATTAAGCATCTGGACAAAAAAAACAACAACCAAAAACCTGCAGGTAAGAGTAAGATGGTGTTTTTCTTTATCTTCATAGGAGAAAAATCGTTTGTTGCAAAAACTGTTACTATAAAGGTAATGGATGTGATTGTTGTTTATTCCAGTTCCGGTTCCTGTACCATAGACACATTAAAACCCAGACCCACCCCCCGCCTCCGGCCCATGTCCTGCTGTGCTGATTGGTCGGGGAGCTGTCTGTCAGCGTGCTTGTGGCTGGGGAAAAATGGTCAACCTGGCATGTTGATGGTCTTGGCTGTGTAGTTCTGGAAGAGCGGCTGCAGGAACATGCCCATCGTGCCGAACACGCATACAAACACAAAGATCCACAGGAAGAGGCGGTCGATCACCATGGCAACATACTTCCAGTCCTCGCTCACCTGTGGTTGTGGAACAGGGTGAAGAGAAAGATTAAGGTGAGCAGAATCCCACTCTCAAGTCCAGGCATGCTCATTATCATTCGACCTACCCGTCTGCCTTTAACTAGACGCAACGTTAATGGAGGTGAAGTGTTAATGTGAATGGAGACTCGTTCAGCTACACAGCTCTGATGAGGTCTGACACGAGTCAAGGAGGAGGAGAAGGATGTAAGAGACTGGAGAGAGATGGAGGACGGAGAGAAACAGAGGGTGTTCTGAAACTGTGACCCCTGTGATGATAACTTAAAGAGAGAGGGGAATGAATGATGAGCCATGCACTGCGCTGGGAATGGGAGGATTTTAAAGGCAATGGGATGGTAACTATATCAGTGATAGACAGAATTACTGCGGTTTATTAATTCCCATGTCAGACGCACGCTCCAATAAGATGCGGTCAGGATAAGACATAAAAAATAACACCCTCACTATGCTGACTCGCTTCTTCTATTCCAGCTCTTTACCAGTTGTACTCTTTCTCTATGCACACATCATGCTGCCGCTGCTGCTATAATTACATGTCTGTGTCGAATATTCAGAGGGTTGCGATTGCATCACCAGATCTGTCTCCTTTGCTTCTGGCCTTTTGTACTAACCCCTGCATTTTAAATGGCAGTACTAAACAGCAGAGTCGCACAGCTCGGTCTTGACTATAACATGATATGGCACTGATCTGTGCTGCTCTGGATACTTTTTATGGCTGGTAACATATGCGCATAAAAGAAGATTATTTATGGCAGGATTTCACACGCACGGAGACATGATAATTTTTTTTATGTTAATACACAGTTGAATCTGAGTAATAAATATGGAGGTATGTATTATCAGCCGATACTATTGCTGCTCATCTCACATTATCACAGGCTATATTAGCATGCATGGTGTCAGAGCTGTAAACTGCAGCACCACATCAAATACACTTTTTTAAATGTCATTTGTTTTTGCTAAAATTGCTGTTTAAATTTACAGTATTACATTTTTTAAGCTAGTTGAATAGCACTAAGTTAAAAGCTGCTGCTCAACAAATAAAGTAGACAAGAAGCACCAAAGCATTAATTTGGAGCTGTGTTTCTTTTCATAAGGAGAGAGTGAGCAAATACTAGATAATTTAAGCCCCATCCTCTACTGTTTGTGCTAAGGTCCGCACAAACAGTAGAATCGCAGTCTTTAAAAGCAGGGCAGCTACAGTGGGATAAAAGCTATCTCTGAGTCTGTGATTACACAAAAAAAGACAGATTTACTGAGAGGAATAAATTAGTGTAGTGTTGCAATCACAGAAAACAGCACAGGTGTGAGTGGACCGTTATCAGGTAATCAAAACTAACTGTCTAAACGATCTAAAAATAAATTTTTTCAATTTTATAAGCAAAGAAAAAGCTTTTTGACATCAATAATGCCCAGGACGGTCTATAAGGAGGAGGGCAAATTCACAGCTCAAAACAGAGTAGAAATGATTAGTCAGTGAATAATCTACAAACATTATACAGCAAGGCTCAAGTTGACTGCAGGATTTATGCAGAGAAGAGCTGCTTTATTAGAAAATGGGTCAGTGTGCAAACGTGAAACCTGTGTTTCAGGTTTGCACAGGTTTGTTAGCGATTTAGCGGACTCCTTCCACAGCTTCCTCAAAGAAAACACAACATTTTCTCTTGTCCTGACCGATGCACATTTTAAGTTATTGTTACTGTGTCATGTGTGTAAATGCACATTACTCTTGCTTTTTCTATGTGACATATAAGCCTACAAGTGTTTATTAAAGTCAAAGGAAAGACTGACTCAGCAGCAGCTGTGGGCAATCAGGTTGTTAAAAAATAGGCTCAGATATTAAAAACGGGATTGGTTGGATTAGATACTCATTTGCAAAAGTATTGATCCCATCAGGGCAGTCTTTGCCTCCTCCAGATGGCACACAACGTTACACAGCTAGCATACAGCCCCTCACCTCACTAGCAGCTGAATTGATTTTCATAAATCTGAACAACACTTTATGAAAAACGTGAAGTTGGTAAAGCTCCTGCTTCAACAACACTTAAGTGTTAAACAATTATTATAAAAGTCAACTTGGCCAGTGAACACATGAATGTTAGCTCTTTAACTACTAGCATATATTGGATAGCTACATTAGCCATGTGTTAAGTTATCATTTAAAGAAATAATAATAATTCAGTTGGTAGCTAGCAGCTATGGCTAATAAGAATATGAATAATTTAAAAGTATAACAGAATTGTTTCTTTTTCTTAAAGGCAGACATTGAAGCAAAGACAAATCTACCAGCAGTAGCACCCACCTTAACAGCTCAATTATATTTGCATTATGTTATATTTAAATTTTATTTTTGATATATAAATACAATTAAAATATGGTGCCATGTGTGTTTTGCTCAGTTATGTTACTGTAAAGTACATATGTTGGGCAAAACATTGTTGTCATTGGCATTATTATTTTTATTCTTTAAGATTTTTATTTTAAAAATGCCTCTAATTTTTATTCTTTTTCTCCCTCTGTGGAATCAAAGAGTTTAGTGGGCAACAAACATGTTTCTTCAAAATCCTGAACAGCAGTTTGTAAAATTCTGATATTTTTCTAATATGAGGGAAATCTGAGTCCCATGAATAGCTTGGCAGACATGTCTGTTTATTCTATAATAGAGCCGATGCTAAAGAGAGTTTAAAATAAATTCATTAATTCACATTATTTTTTATGTTGCACAGCTCTGTGTGCACAGTGCTGAGAGGCTCTTGTGTCCTCTGCAGTTCTCATTGTGGCCCAAATTCTCTAAAATACTGCAAATTACATCTTAAAGTAAAGACATATTTCCTGTAACACAAACATAGCCTTTATGCATTTTGCATTACTGAAATACCGAAATACCAGAAATATGTTTAGCTCAATTTTCCACTCTGAGTAATTTTCCCATAAATTTATATACAATAAGAGCTCCTCAAAAACTATTGTCCACACATTTCAGCAGCAAAGAGAAGATTTTTGATCCCAAAAGAGGCATTTGCACTGATGCAGACAGTTAGCTAATCTGGTCCTAACTTATTTAATCTGTTGTCAACATAAAAATCTATTTTGAGCAGCTGTCAAATGTTATTTTTGCAGTTACCACAAAAATAAAGTTTATTAACCAGCTATAAAACATAAACAAATCTAGTGCAACACTATCAGCTCCAGGCTCTGATATGAAGCAACAGATAATACTCACACTCTGGTCATCATCCTCGCTCTTCATGTGATTTGCGATGAAGCGTACTCCTTCCACAGCTTCCTCAAAGCCTGGACAGGCTTGAGCCAGCAGGGCCTGGGTCAAAGCAGGACCTGCAGCTGCTTGCTTCCCTCTTGGAAGGTTTCCAGAGCCCCCTTCTCGACCTTCTCTGACTCTGTTTAGACCATCGATGGATCCCCCTCCTGCACCTCCCAGATCCCCTCCAAATTGTTTAACAGACGCGCGGTTCACATAGCACGTACAAGGGTCACTGTCCTCCTTACCAAACACTGTGGAGGTCCCCCCTCCATTCCCACCAGCATTTCCCAGCCCGAGCCCCACCATCAAGGCCCCTGCCTCTCCACTTCGACCACCCTCGCTCTGCTCCTGCGCCCTCCTCCTTTGACGCAGCCGCTGACGCTCGCAGCTGTTTCTCGGCTGGCGCATGAAGAGCAGGGCAGGAAGCTTGTTGAGGAACACTAGTTTAACCCAAGGGGGCATGGTGTGTGTGGTGGGAGAACGATGGTGCACATTCAGGACACATACACTGGTGACGATAGAGAAAGTGACCAGAACCATGGTGAACATCAGATACTTTCCGACCAGAGGAACATCCAGTGAAGTTGGTGGGACGATCTTGGAGATTAGCAGCAGGAACACAGTGAGAGCCAGCAGCACTGAGATGCAGAGTGTCATCTTCTCGCCACAGTCAGAGGGCAGGTAGAAGACCAGGATCGCCAGCGAGGTGATGAGCACACACGGGATGATGAGGTTGATAGTATAAAAAAGAGGCTTCCTGCGAATGATGAAGTCATATGTGATGTCCACGTAAGTAGGGTCAGCTGGGTTTTCATTTCGTCTGCCCGGCAGGGCGATGATGTCCCACTCTCCACTGGGGGTGAAGTCATCCATGCTGGCTACATCAGCGCGAAGCACCAGATCGATTTCAGTGCGGTCGTAGGTCCAGGAGCGGAAGCGCAGCGTGCAGTTCTGCTGGTCAAAGGGAAAGTGCTTGACCTCAATCTTACAGGCTGATTTATAGATTGCCGGGGGCAACCAAAAGATGCTGCCATCGTAAGACACCACTGCATTAGAGTAGAACGACACCTCGTACACCCCATCAGCACTAAGAGACAAGGTCAGAGAGGATAAAGACAAAAACAGGAGTCAACATAAATCCAGATGCTGGTGTGATGATTTAAATAATAAAAAAGTATCATGAGGAGCCATGTTTCTTCCAGGCCTCTTGAATAGGGTAATGTGGTAGTGCTTTATCTTATTATGCAGCAGCTTCATTAGACCTCAACGACACACTAACGAATCTTGAAGTTATGGGTGTGACTTTTTGAGGTTTCTCTGGTTAGCAGAGTCACAGACTCCTTCTTATATTAACACACAGAAGAAGGATAAGGAACCAAATGAATGTGAAGTCCAGGCAGAAGACATCATTTTTAAGGTAATCTGGGCTCGATTAAACAGCACATGTAAGCTACCAACTGTGAGCTGTATGAATTTCATGTCATCTTACGATAATGGCAGAAACATACATGCAGCAAGAATATTTTTAACATACAAAAGAAGAACCTGCACGAACACATAGCTGCACATTTTCAGTGCACTACGACACGCTTCATCTTTTCTCCAAATGAAATAATAATATAACAAGTGGTGTGGTAGTGGCGTAAGCTGAGTTAATCCTCCAGTTTAAAGGACTGACAGTTGGACTCATCGGAGTCATGGAGGATAACACCCCAACCTGGGGTACACAGGATTAACGGGATCACTTTTCCAGAGTTAGTTGGGTCAGGGATCTTATAATCTTTAGTCAAGTAAGGCCTGAAGCAGGGAAAGAGGAGAAGGCCAGACAGATCGCTGTGCTCTGATGAGCTGATTTACATACTGTATGCTGACACTCAGTTTCCATTACATTAAGACCAGTGGTCCGCAACATCCCCATTCTCTCTCAGACATGCAGGAGAATTCTAATTAACAAAACATGCGGATGAAGTTTACACGTTAATCATTTTGTGTAATACATTACAGCGAAGCTTATTTGGGATGTTATCATTTATGTACTATGTATGTGATAGTACACTCATTTGCACATGAGTGATTCCTACCGCTCATCTTGCCAACTTGTTAAATGTTGTAAATTTGTATTTAGTTACCACAAACCACAAATTAATCGACACATAAAAATGTATGATGTCGGCACAGGAGTACTGGATGGTTTCTGGAATGCAGCTGAAGGGATATGAACTATGCACAGATGGTAGGGACAGGAATAAGGCTGAAAGTCATTAAATTCCCAGCAGAAAAGTTTTGGTCTGGAGGTGCATAATAGGCTAAGTCAACCATGCGCACCCCTGAAGACTTTTCATAAGGTAATCTGTTCTCAATAGCAGAATTAAAAGTGATGGCTGCATATTTGTATGACAGTGTAGAAGTAATTTCAAATCCTTCCATTGGTCCTAGATAGAAGTGCCACATTAAAAGAGAGGCAATGGTAATTATCTAGACTCTCAGCGAGCACATCAAATAAGCTTCATATATTTTACAAGTGGAAAAGACAAGACGACAGAAGTTTGCATTCTTGTGGAACAACTGTGTGCACCGACTCATCACTGCATTTGCCGATGTATGCAGTGCAGGTGACTTGTTCTGTACTTTCATGGTGCAGTGTATGCACTATCATTTTGTATCTTGTGAAGGCTTTACAAAGTGAGGACAGGTGGACAAGAGAGTGACTCACTTGTTGTAAAGCACCACGTCAGGCAGCCAGATGTGTTTGGAGGGCAGCCTGACCTTCAGCATTCCATCAAACTCCTCGGGGACCCAAGTCAGACGATAGTCCTGCCACTCCTAAAGGCCAATAAAAACACAACGCTTAGTCACTCATCTGCCAACCACACAGCAGGAAATGACATCTTGAGAGAAGCAGAGAGGAGAAGGTGTGTCTGTTTGTCTTTTTGTGTTCGTCACTCAGTCACTGGTCAACATGACATGTTGCAATAAAGATAAGCCTAAGGTACGTTATGTGCTATCTGCCCAACCTGCACCTTCATCACACTTCTACCATTAGCCAGAGTAACACTCGTGTCTGTCCTGACCCTGAATGGTCTTTAAAACACACCCGGCCGCAAACCACTCAGCATGATTATAATGCAGCAGCTGTTCCCAGGTATGTGTGTGTGGGTGCATGTGAATGCATCAGCAGACATCTGAGTCCTCTGTGCAACTTTGTGTAAAAGACAAACGTTATCTTGTTTTCCATGTTGTGGATCAGACTTTGACATTGCCACACTGAAGCCTCTGTGACCTGTTACCACAGTTCTGTGTGTGGTATAACCAGGTTGCAGCTGTATTGCTCATGCTAGACTGTCCTCTGTAACTGTGATGCATTGTGGTCATTACAGTTTGTCTCGGCTCACGACAGCTGTCCTTGGCACTCCTGCTTTCTGATGGCAAAGAATCCATAGAGCACTGATGGTGATTCTATGCTCCGTTACACGTCATAAATCCTAATCTGGCTCATGTGTGTGTCTGCCTATGTGCCAGTGTGTGACAACATACTGGCACGCACACACACACACACACACACACACACACACACACACACA